TGAAATTTTAAATTTTAAATTTTAAATTTCAAAACTTAAGCATTTTTTATTAGCTAAAAATGTTATTAAAAACCAAATAAATTAAAAATGTTATTCAATAACATATAATTTCAATACAAATAAATAAACATATAAAAAAATAAAAAAATCCCACGTCCCGTCCCGCCAAACACTGTCTCATCCCGTATATATAGTGGGACGGGATGAGACGTATTTTTGTCCTGTCAATCCCGATCCTGCCTGGCCCGATCCCGGCCAAGGACGTCCCCCTCCCGTCCCGTCCCACAGTCCTCGTCCCCTTGCCAGCCCTAGAATAGGCCAATCTATGTCATTTGTTAAAAGTTTGGCTCACCATGTCATTTCCATTTAAGAAAAGGCTCGCCCATGCCATTAATTGTTAATAGAAAGCAATTCGATTTTGCAAATACATTTTTTACATGTGATCAATTATGATTCGGCCATGTCATTAATTAAATTATTTTCTTAAAGAAAAAAAGGATCAAATACGCTATTAAACTCTGAGAAAAGGCTCATCTATGTCATCTGTTAAAAGTTTGGCTCATCTATGTCATTTTCATTTGAGAAAAGACACATTCATACTATTATTTGTTAATAGAAAACAATTCTGATTTTGCAAATTCATTTTTTACATGTGGTCAATTATGATTTCGGCCACATCATTAATTAATTTTTTTTAAAAGGAAAAAAACTCAAATATGTCATCCAACTTTGAGAAAAGGCTCATTTATGTCATCCGTTAAAAAATTGGCTCGTCTATGCCATTTCAGTTAACAAATAATGGCACAGATAAGTCTTTTCTCAAGCGAAAATGACACAGATGAGTTCAGTTAACAAATAATGACATGAGTAACTAAAATAACATAAATGAACAGTTTCTCAAATTCAATTAGCATATTTGAGCATTTTCCTTGTACTTAAAAAAGTGTTGAAGGTACTAATATTACAAGTTTACAAAAAATAAAAAAGAGAGAAAATGGTCAAAAGCCCCCCTAACCTATAGCCGGATTCCCAACTACACACTCATACTTTACGGGGGTCCTATTACCCCGTGAACACTTTTTTTTACTAATTTTCTCACCCTTATTTGCTGACGTGTCCATATAAACCAGATATAATTAAATGTTTGTTTACACGCGCTGCCACATAATGACTGGACCCCAGAACCCACGAATTACCTTAATCTTTTCATTTTCCTCTTTCTTTCTCTAAATCCTAACCTTTTTTCGATCTGACCAAATTCACCCCCATTCCCTTCAATCTGAGATTTCGTTCCAATCGAAATTTGCTGGGAAGGTTGGGGAAGGTTCGTTTAGCTTTTTTCGTTTGTTGGGTCAAAGTTTTCTCTAAGTAAAAGTTAGTTCTTTTAGTTCTTTACTAGCGATTTTGAACGATATTGATTATTGTGTTTGATTAGGGTTATGAAATTGATAAAAAAATGAAGAGCAATAACTGGGTTTTGGCATAATAGCATTCCATTGAAGAAAATTTTTGAACCATAACTATGAAATCAGAGAAATTACAAGTCCTAAAGCTTCAAGCTTTTTCGAAATTGAAACTACAGTTGAATGCTTTGACAAGTAAATTCAAGTTTTATGCTGATTTGGGAGAGAATGAAGGAATATACCGTTGGTGATTTGTCAACTATTAGAAGAATTGAGAAAAAAAGAAAGAAAAAGAGAGTTTGATTTTGGGAGAGATGAGATTATACCATTGGAGATTTAATATAGATGATTTGGACTCACATGTGTAGTTTTCTTCAGCTTTTAACGTTTTATTTTATGTTCTTACGCACCTAAGGGAGTTGATCTCACCTTTTTGGACATGTCAGCAAATAAGGGTGAGAAAATTAGTAAAAAAAAATAGTTCAGGGGGTAATAGGACCCCCGTAAAGTATGAGTGTGTAGTTGGGAATTCGGCTATAGGTTGGGGGGGATTTTGGTCATTTTCTCTAAAAAAGAAGGTAAGTTACCTTAACACTATTAATATTTATAAGGGTAAGGAAACCACGGGCACTTCACTTGAGTTTTTCTTCTCCGGCAAACAAAATTTCCCCTTGTTTGTTCAAAAATCCGATCGTGATATCGTTATTTTCCCCCAAAATTAGCAAACTATAATTTATAGTTAGTAAGGAAAGGATCTGTGGAAAGGAATTTTGTTGAATAAATTGTTGAATTCCAGCAATGGAGATCTTATAAACCTTCGAGTTCCATTGTGCATTGATGAAGAAGATCGGTTAATGACAAAGCTTTCAAGTTCTATTTCTGGGCAAACGATAACAGGGATTAAGGCTGGCAAACGGACAGGACCGGATCAACAGGACCGGTTTTACCGAAACCGATCCTCGTTACCGGAAACGGGTCTTACCGGAACAGGTTTTACCGGAAATATCCAAAGGTTCCGTCCGGTCCCTTAGTTACCGGATTGGAACCGGTTTAGACCGGACCGGAACCGGTTCTTATCGGATCATTGTGTACCGGTAATTTTTTTTTATTTTTTAATTAACTTTAATTATTATATAATATTATATTATTAATTAATAAAATTATATTATTAAAAAACTTCAATTTAAAACTTTAAACTTTAAAGTTACTTTAAAGTTTCAATTGAATTTAAGTTTAAACTTTAAAC